TGTCAACTACATATGTACCTTATTTAGATCTATGTAGGTGTAATATAAATTATAGTTTGATATCATTTACACTGCAATATATTTATTGTAGTGAATAGAACATCTTATAAGACTTTGAAATAAAACAACTGTTTTAAATTATAAATTCAGTCGGTATTCTTTATTTGAATCTTTCCATTTGATGTTGAAGACTTTAAGTGATCAATCTCTTATTGACATATTTGCATCCTGTTGCGGATTACCTTTATATTGTATTAAGCCACAAAGATGAATAGTGGCTAACAGTGCAATCCAACACAAGCGTTTCGTCCTATTTTAGACTCGTCATCTGGATGTACCTGTATCACAGAGTTGATGTTCACTCTGGGAGTCGAACCTAGTGATGCTCGCCCCAAATGCAATCGCGTTATCCATCTTTGCTTATAATGCTTGTGAATTAATGCAATATTGAGGATATTAGCACAGTATGCACATAAGTCAATAAGAGACTGATAAATCGCAGTCCTAAACTCATTAGCTATGTGGATATTGCTATGATGATTGAAGCTAACGGTGCTGTGTTTCAGTCCCGCAGTGAACAATAACTCTGAGATGCAGGTACATTCAGCTGACAAACCTCGAATAGGACGAAACGCGCATCCTGGATTACACTGTTAGCCAATATTCATTTTTGCCTATAATGTTTTGAATTATGTTTGATGAATTACATAGATTTAAACTCTATACCTATCTCATCAAACAACTGCGTCATATAATATGGTATTTTTTTAAAGTATCATCCTATTTGTCCGAATCCAGTACTATTTAGCTGACGAGCTTGGACTAGAACGAAATATATGTCTTGGATCCAACTTGACTCAGTCTTCCAACTCGATGATCAGGTCTTTATCTAGACTTTGTGCTAGTTAACATTTTTCACTGTAACATTCCAAAAAGATCAATACTTTAAGCCAAAAACATAATACAAGTTATCCTTCACCGATTATTATATGTTTGATGAAAGCAGAAGTATCGTATCGAACTGTTTTGTGCAGTAAATACTTTTTTTACGAAATTCATTTACTTTCTTACATGGTTTTTTACAAATGTTTAATGCAAGCTAATAGAAGTATTATAAAAATATAAAAATTGTTACTCTGGTTGTTAGAAGGGGCATCGGCATCGTGGCTTCCGAAGGAACTCGACTTTCACCATGAAGCGTCATAATTCGTCTAAATGAAGACCTTTTAACTCCCAGGGCATAGTTTAAATGGTTTGAATCATTTTTTCTGGTTAGCGTTTTTTAACGAGTTAGTTTTCTACGGGATAGGGTCGCTAAACCTATGCCCAACCCTCCTTCTTCACCCGGGCTTGGGAGCGGCACTAACTCTAGAAGAGCTACAGGCGGAGTGTTACGTAAAACCGTAAAAAAGTATTACGTAAAAACCCCCATGCTTAATGATTACCTAATTATGTAATTTGTACAACTTACTATAAATAATATCAAAGACTCACTTTCATGGTTGAAATATATTTTGGATCATCTATACTTCATATTGTCCTAGTATGAGGCTCCTCAATAGTGCGTAACTACGATCCTGCTCAATAGTTTATCATCTTACTTATTACATGCACGATGAAAATGATGAATGGACAAATTCTACAAGGTAATATTTAATAATAAACTGACTCGCTTTTATGTTTGTGTTCTGTAATCTGAATTTCTGTAAGGTTACCTAATTCAGCTATAACCAACAATGCAGTAAGATCATCGCATAACTCTTTGGTACTTAAAGCCATCATCCAGAAAATACAGGTGTTTATTAAAAGTTGTCTACGCAAAATACTTCGGATACATTGGCCGGACACTATTAGCAACAACCTACTGTGGGAAAGTACAAACCAGATCCCAGAGGAGGAAGAAATCAGGAAGAAGCGTTGGAAGTGGATAGGACACACATTGGGGAAAGCATCCAACTGCGTCACTAGACAAGTCCTCACATGGAATCCTAAAGGCCAAAGGAAAAGAGGAAGATCAAAGAACACATTACGCCGAGAAATGGAGATAGACATGAGAAAAATGGACAAGAATTGGATGGAACTAGAAAAGAAGGCCCAGGACAGAGTGGGTTGGAGAATGCTGGTCGGCGGCCTATGCTCCATTGGGAGTAACAGGCGTAAGTAAGTAAGTAATTAATTAACTTAAAGTTATCTATTATCGGATTGTTTAGATCTTTCGGACCTTATTTTGTTAGTGTTATGTTAGCAGGGATAGATACACTTTTTCTTCTGTATACTGATTGCTAAATATTTACTTTATTGAGTTCGTAGAATATATCTTATTGTGATAATCAGACGCATTCCAAGTGAGGATCGGAGTGAGACAAGGCTACTTACTCTCTCTCTTTCTCTTCCTTCTGATGGTCAACTGGGTTATAAAAACCTCAACATTTGAGAGGAAACATGGAATACGATGGATAGCTCTAAGTCATTTAGGAAGTTTGGACTTCGCAGATGACATGGCTCTTCTATCCTATGCACATAAAAAAATGCAGGTCAAGACAAACAGTGTAGCAACAGTCTATGGACCAGTAGTCCTCAAAATACACAACAGAAAAAGTGAGATCCAAAAATACAACACGTAGAACACTAAGCAATCACACCTGATCGAGAAACTCTGAAAGAGGTGGAAATATTCACGTATCTGGATAGCATCATCGATGAACAAGGAGGCTCTTAAGCAGACATAAAGGTAAGAATTGGCAAGGAAGGATAGAATCTCTACAATTGAAGAGCATATGGAACTCAGAACAACTTTCAACCAATATCAAAATCAGAATCTTTAATACAAACGTCAAGACAGTTCTACTTTATAGAGCTGAAACTTGGAGAACTACTACAAACATCATCAAAATAGTGCAAGTATTTACAAACGATGATCTACACAAGATGCTGAATGTTCATCGACCGGATAACATCAGTAACACCCTACTGTACGACAGAACGAACCAGTTTCCATATGAAGAGAAAATTATGAAAAGCCTTTGAAAATGCACAGAACATAAATTAAGGTAATTATCAAAATGCATCGCAAATGAAACCCTAACTTACAATTATGAAAGGAAACGAAAAAGAGGAAGATCAAAGAACACATTGAGTTGTGAATTGGAAGCAGCTATGAAAATAATGAATAACAACTAGAAAGGTGGAGAGACTCTAATTTATGAACGACCTTTGAAAGAATCTTAAGCGACCTTCAGAAATATTAGCCAATCAGCAAACAGTCAGTATAGAGTAAAAATATGTTATACAAAACGAAGGAAGTAAAGTGGATACAATTCCTACACGTGGTTCAAAAAGTTATCAAGGTTAGAAAGGGGTTCAGTGGTTCTAAAATCGTAATGCATGCAGTAGAGGAGATCATCCATACGGCTACAGAATAGTCGGCATCTGGAGCCATGATTAAGTCTCAAAAACTCTTTCAGCCCCGACCACATAGCTTCAATATTGTTTATGTGCACTCCGGTTGTTGAGTCCACAAAATGCTACTTGTGGATAACGACACGATGCACATAACCAAGCCTATGTAAGATTCTGTACGCTCTGCAAACACCCGTATATATTGTAGTACCTGGTTGCAGCCAGTGTTACTGGTGTTTTTATTATCCTGTTCGCAATAATTATCGTAATTTGCCTTAGTTAGGAATCATATATGGCGTTTTCATCACGAACTGACATCAGCTATAATGTCAAAACTCTGTTTAGCCAAATGGATGAAAGACTTTCGCATTAAAATCCGAGATCTATTATCTTATACCTGATTGTTTCGTCCACAAATTATAGTCACGCCATTTTATTTGTTATAGCCGTTCAATTATCACGTTTTGTACAAAATTCCCTGTGAATCGATCATACATTAGCATTAAGCACTGAAATTGGCACCGTCACCTTGAAATCTCTAAAACGCTTCTGATTGGTTCGTCCATATATTAGAATCTCACCGAAAAGTTTATCTAGGATAAAGTTGAATAGAGAATACTTATGATAATTGACTTATGCTCCTTCATGAAGGATTATGTAAATAAGATAATCAAATTTATACTCTAACTTCTTTTTGTTCTTAAAATATTCTCATTCGTTTAAATAAACAACACAATGATAATACAACTAATGTGCTATAGGGAAAATGATTGTGCATAAAACACACTTTTATATTATGTTAAACCAATCAGTATTATATTTTAAACATTTTCTTATTTGTATTTGTATTGTAAATAGTTAGCCTTGAACCAATCCCATGTCTTTAAGTTCTAATGCTTGTGTGCTTTAAGTCTTTCAATTACATTTGTTTACTATTATCATTATTATTATTATTATGATTACTATAATGTATATCTTTCATCTATCTATTCTATGTATGTACATTAGATGATATGAATATATATATATATACAAAAGATATAAAAGGGTACTTTCTTCAAATCATGTATATAATAGTAATAAGACATTGATACATGTATACACTACACACCTAGTAACATACAACATGATACTTTTTATGTATAACAACTATGATATAATACAAATACATTGAAAACAAGGTCACCTTTGAATAAACTACAATCATTTTTGCACTACCCTTGACTTATAACATTAGATTTGTCATTATTATTATTATTATTATTATTATTATTATTATCATATATAGATATACAAACAATGTTGATTAGTTGATGGGACTAATTCAATTGAAATAACCAATTATGTATTTCTAATCTAAATGATACATGAAACATTTAATCATTACGTCATGGATACCGGATAAAATTTCTTATATAATAAATAAATATTATTATTAATGAAATGAACATTTTTCATAAATTAATGTATATTAGTTTCTATGGGCTCATTATTACATTATGACAATGGATTTTTCTACATGTCAATGAATATATACTACTTAATTTAAATTCTACTCATTATTATTATTTCAGTAATATATTGAATTTCATTATTAATCAATGAACAATTATAATGATTTATTCATTATTATTATTATTATCATTATACATTGTATTATTCATGATAAATATTATTCAATGTTTCAATCAATTGAATCATATTCAACAATAAATCTATATAGAAATCAATTGCATTTACTATCATTATTACTATTAGTAGTATTGGTATTATTATTATCATTAACAAATGTAAATCAATGGAAAACTATATTACATAATCGATTACATTTATTATATAATGATATTACAAATGTAATCTATCAATTATATTTTTATATTATTCGAAAACATTTATCGATTTATGATCAATTATCAATTAATCAATATATTGATAAATCACTATGGTTATTATTAAGTAAGAATACGTTAAGATACATTCCTAAACAATTAATTCAATTATTCAATGTGTTACTAACATTAATCAATGATATTAATGATAAATTACAACATTTATTCTTTATATCTTATATGAAATTTAATATTCTTATTCATTATATCTATCATAGATATATAATAGTCACCATAGCAACACATATCCATTTATTAAATCGATTAAAATATTTTTTTCATTTTCTAAATCAATATTGGAAATGTATTATTCAATATGATTATAAAAAAATATTCAAACATTATTCTATTCATCCTAATAATTCATATCTATTAATTATTAGTAAATGTTATATATTATTATTAATCATGAATACAGTATTATGTATATCAACCAAATATACTAAACATAAAAATATGACATTATACCCAGTAACAATGAATAATATGACAACCACCATCACCACCACCACCACCACAACAACAACAACAACTAATGAATTGATTGAATCGAATCATTTATATACTAATCCAATACAATCTATTTATCATTTTAAACCACCTGATTATAAACGTCCATGTAGATATCGTTTTAATGATGATGTTGAAACTAGTACATTATTAGCTGATTATGTTATAATTGGTTGGCCAATACAAATATATCGTCGTCAATTTGGTCCATTATATAATATTAGTTTATTAGTACAGAATATATTAAAAACTGTTAAATATAGTAGATTTCCTATACGTATTAATCATTTATTAAGAATAGGACAATTTAGTATATTTCCAGATCCTGGTCGATGTTGGATTAATGTTCATAAAAATAAAAAATATATATTTTTTTTAAATCAACCAGATTGGTCTGGATTTTCAAAAATTACACAATTACCTGTTGAATATACAAATTATGCATATAATTCTATTATAAGAATTATGAAACTTGGTGGTAAGTACATTTATTTTTTTGGTTTTATTATTATATTGAATATTAGAAGAAGTTTTTGTAGATATGATAAGTAATTTCAATGGTTAAGATCATGAATCAATTGAAGCTAGACAATCATGGAAACCTAGAAGTATTGGATGGCCAGTAGGTCCTGAGTTCGAATCTCGCAGAGGGCGAGGTCGTGGATGCTCACTGTTACTGGGGTGTCCCACAATAGGACGAAACAGTCATCCAGTGCTTCCAGATTTTCCATGGTGGTTGAGCTTCAACTGATTCATGATCTTAACCACTGAAATTATTATTATATTTATTTAATGAATTCATGAATGGATTAAAGTTAGACCATGATAGAAAATCTAGAAGTACTATAAGATCATAGATGCAAATTGTTGAAGGGTCTCATATTAGGATGACACAAGACATCTAGTACTTTCAGGTTTTCTACAATGGTAAGTAAATATTTATTTAATATTAAATTTCAATAATTAAGATCATGAATCAGTTGAAGCTAGACCACCATTGAAAACCTAGAAGTATTATAAGATCATAGACGTAAATTGTTGAAGAGGCTCATATTAGGATCAAACAGCTATCCAGTTCTTCCAAGTTTTCTATAATGATCTAGTTCTAATCTACCATTAAATGACTAAAATTTTCGCAAAAACCCACTTTTTTGGAATGTAACATTGATGGTACACAATATGAGTACACAATACAAAGTACTTTGGGGGGGGGGAAGGGGATGAAAGAAAAAGTTTATCTATCCAACGTTTAGTTATACAAAGAATCCCCATCATTTTAATAATTGAAAATCTACATCATAATTCAAATGATAAATAGTTATCAAATCAATTAGATACTTAATCTTTATCTAAATCACTCATTTGATCATGATCATACTGTACTAATATGATAATAATCAAAACTTTATCAGGTTCATGCTTTGTATGAGGTTAACATTAAGTATTCTATTGATGATTGTTATAATGTGCTTTGTAGAAGCTATAAATAGAGATAATTTTTCATTTATTATATATTATTACTTATTAGTAGTAACGTGTTCATGAATACGTTTTTAATAAAGTATCAATGAATTCTTATTGAAAATGCAATTAAAAATCAAATATGTATTGAGTTAAATGGTGAGATAAGAAGTTATGGACGACCAATGAGTGACGTTAAAGTGACTTTGACAATGTTCACCTACTGACTAGGGCTAATTGAGGGTTATAAACCTGTATAAAGGATAATGATTGTGATTTATAGTTAAGTGTAAGAATCAGATATAGGGTTTTCATCATCAACTAACATCATCTAAAATGTCAAGATGCTATTTAGCCAAATGGATGAGTGAATTTCGCTCTGAAATCCAAGACCCATAATCGTGAATTTGATTGGCTCGTTCATAAATTATAGTCTCGTCAGTTCGCTTCAATTGACTCATGATTTCAATTAGTGAAATTTCTAAAAACTCCACAAAACCCCTTCTAATAATAATCATCTACTCACTAGTGACTGAATTCAAGAGATACTACTGGAGTTCTAGTGAGAAGCCGTTACCAGTGGAGTTCAACCCAGTCTGTTGTGAGATACCAACTCACTGAAGACAATGCTGTATGGTGTCGCAACTTCGTGGATTGTTTGAAGTTAGACATTAACACCATTAGATGCCGGGCGGCTCAGTAGTCTAGTTGGTTAAGCACCTGGCGCAAGACCGATAGGTCCTGGGTTCGAATCTCGTGGGGTGCGGGATCGTGGGTGCTCACTGCTGAAGAGTCCAATACTAGGACGAAACGGCCGTACAGTGCTTCCAGGTTTTCCATGGTGGTTTAGCTTCAATGGACTCATGATTTTAACCAATGAAATTTTTAAAGTCTCCACAAAACCCCTTCTCAAAATAAAATCACAAAATTTTAAACAATTTCCTATTAATTTTTTTCAATATAAAATCCATGAGTATCTTAGATCATATCATGATCCATTAAGTACAATGATTTTTAAATTCACTTGATATTCTTTGTTTGAATCTTCCTATTGATGTTTAGGACTATAAGTGATTAGTGTCTTTTAGGCATATATACATACTGTGCGTACTTGGGTTCGACTCCCAGAGTGAACATCAATTCTAAGATGCAGATATATCCAGTTGATAAGTTCCAAGTAGGACGAAACGCGCATCAAACTGGATTTCACTATTGACCACTATCCATCTTTGCATATAATACAATGATTCTTACTGAATACCGACGTTTTCATATTATATATATCCTAACTTTTCATATGCTGTCAAATGAACAAATGTATTAATCAGATACAATTTTATTGAAATTTATAAACAGTATTTCATTCATTATATTCTTACTTAAATTCAATGCTTTGTAGCTTCAAAGATATGGTATTGATTTGTTAAACACAGAACTTTAGCTAGTAATTTCAATAGTTGAGATCATGAGTTAATTGAAGCTAGGCAACCATGGAAAAACCTCTTTGTAGTCATTTAAGCATGTGTTCAGGCACATGTATATGAACAAAGAAAAGATAGGAGCAATTAGTTAACACTTTGTAATAACATACATTCGACATATAGTTTCAACTATGTGATAAAGATATTATACTTAACTGGGGAATGTGAACAACCTTAATTTATCAGTTAGTGAGCGTTACTTATAAGTTTTTCAAGAGTTACAATTTTAAGATTTTTGATTAAGATCATGAAGCGATTGACGTTAGACCACCATGGAGAACCTGAAAACATTGGATAGCCGTTTCATTCTATTGTGGGACTCTTTAGCAGTGAGCCTCCACGATCCCTCTAGCGGGACTCGAATTCAAGGCCTTCAGTCTCGCGCATGAATGCTTAACCCCTAGAACACTGAACCAGTCGAGATCCAACAGTGTTAATGTCTTACCTCAAGCAATCTATAAAATTGAGCGACATATCCACCATTTTCATCAGTAAGTTACTATCTCACAACAGACACGGCTGAACACTGATTACAGTTTCTCACTAAAACTTCAGGATATACTTCTTGAAACCAGTCATTAGTAAACATATGTTAATTAGTATCAGAACAGGTTTTTTATGTGGATATTATAGTATTTTCAGTCGTTGAAACCCCAAGTTATTTAAAGCTAGACCACCATCAAAAACTTGGAAGCACTGAATGATCGTTTCCTCCTCCTATTATAGGACTCTTCATCAGTGCGCATCGACGATCTCGCTCCTAAAGATTCGAACTCAGAACCTATCTTATTTGTTCATGTAATGCTAGACTATATTAGATGTTGATAGTTGTCTCTACATAGATATATTATTTTCATTTTTATTATATACCTATATTTATTCAAAGGATATATCATAATGTATTATATTCCATTGTTACATAATAAATAAAAATTCATTTCTTTTTAGTAGCTATAAATAATGGTTTTTATCTAGGTGACTGACGAATTTTGTTGTTGTTGTTGTTGTTGTTGTTGTTGTTGATGTTTTCAATGTTCTATCTTCTCTCTTTATGCCTTTAAGTCATATATATACATATACATAACCGGAACAAAACAGCCTATGGTTCTGTATAGAAATAGATTCTTCCAATTCAAACATAAATCAGTAGTTGTATATTGTGTATTAGTCAATTATGAAGTAACTATTATTATTATTATTATTATTACTGTTTGTAGTACCCATGTATAATAGTAACATTACTAATAGTCATCATAGTATTAGTATTCAATTCTATTCATTGACCATGACTATCAATATTAAGATTGATGATATACAAAAGTGAAAGTATGACAAGTAAATTAGTTTATTTAACTTCTTTTTTGTTTTCTAAATATGGTTCTTTTCTTTTCTTTTCTCTTATTTTCTTTCTTTTTTTCTTTTTCTTTTCAAAAGTTTTCACTCGTATTTATCAGGGGAGAAAAATTTTTTTCTTTTTTTTCATTTTTTTTCAAATGATATTTTTTTATTCAAATTATGATTTGACTAACCCCCCCCCCAAAAAAAAGTATATATCACTTTGATAGTTACTATGTGTATAGGTATCTATTTGGTTGTATGTCTGCATGTGTCTATGTATGTATGTCTGTAGGTTCGGACTAATTGATAAAACAGAAAAAGAAAAACAAAAAAAAAACAAAGTTAACATCATTTTAAAATGAAAATAAATGATCTTGTTGATTGTTTCAAACAAGAACAACAACAAACAAACAAAAAGTGTAGGACAATAATCAATATTCATTATTCTATGACCTAACACCGTTTTATTTTTGCTGTTGTTGACAAGATTTAATTGTATGAATAATTGAAAAGAAAAAAAAGTATAGAATTGGTTGCATATAAGTAGGCTATCTGTTGATTTATAAGCAAAGATGGATAGTGATTAGTAGTGGAATACAGTTTGATGTGCATTTTTTATTCTTATTTGGGACTATTTAGCTGAGATTTGAACCCAGTGTCGTTCGCTTCAAACTTCATCGTGTTATCCACTTAGCTACTGAGTCTTGATAATCAATTGCTTTGGCAATCAAATGAAGTTTAAATACAATTGGTATTTTTCACTTGAATCTTCTCATTGATATTTAGCACTGCGATTGATCAGTGTGTTATTGGCATATATGCATACTGTGCGTATTGCCTCGATATTGCCTTCATTTACAAGCATTATAAGCAAAGATGGATAGTGATTAGCAGTGGAATCCAGTTTGACATGCGTTTCTTCCTATTTGGAATTGGTCAGCTGGATATATCTGCATCTCAGAGTTAATATTCATTTTGAGACTCAAAGCCAGTACCATTAGCTTGAAATGCCACTGTGTTATCTATTTAGCTACTGAGTCCTGTTGTGTGTGATAGATCACACCTACGGATTTATCCATTCCTTAAATCGAATACATTTCACTAAATAGAAGTCAATTTGTTATGAATTCAACGGATAAAATATATCGATGAGAGTTTTTGACTACACTACCATGCTGTTAGTTTTTTTCAATGATTA